CTCCATCAGAATGATATAAATCCACGATTTTATTTCCTTTTCACCTATTCGAATTTTTCTCAATATTTATGCATCTGAGAGCAAAAGTGTAAAGGAGATATTGTTAAAAATAAAGTTTGCTACAACTTTTGTATTAAACTTTTTTTTCTAAAACAATCTGAATCCCGAGCTCTCCATCAGAATGATATAAATCCACGATTATATCTCATTTTCACCTTTTCGAACTTTTCTCAATATTTATGCATCTGAGAGCAAAGGTGTGAAAGAGCAATATTGTTAAAAATAAAGTTTGCTACAACTTTTGTACTAAACTTTTTTTTCTAAAACTTTCTGAATCGCGAGCTCTCCATCAGAATGATGTAAATCCACGATTTCATATGATTTTCACCGTTTCGAACTTTTCTCAATATTTGTGCGTCTGAGAGCAAAAGTGTAAAAGAACAATATTGTTAAAAATAAAGTTTGCTACAACTTTTGTACTAAACTTTTTTTTCTAAAACGTTTTGAATCGTGAGCTCTCCATCAGAATGATTTAAATCTATGATTTTATCTCATTTTCACCTATTCGAACTTTTTTCAATATTTATGCATCTGAGAGCAAAAGTGTAAAAGAGCAATATTGTTAAAAATAAAGTTTGCTACAACTTTTGTATTAAACTTTTTTTTCTAAAACATTCTGAATCCCGAGCTCTCCATCAGGATGGTGTAAATCCACGATTTCATCTGATTTTCACCTTTTCCAACTTTTCTCAATATTTATCCATCTAAAAGCAAAAGTGTAAAAGAGCAATATTGTTAAAAATAAAGTTTGCTACAACTTTTGTGCAAATCTTTATTTTCTAAAACGTTCTGAATCGCGAGCTCTCCATCAGAATGATTTAAATCCACGATTTGATCTCATTTTCACCTATTCGAACTTTTCTCAATATTTATGCATCTGAGAGCAAAAGTGTAAAAGAGCAATGTTGTTACAAATAAAGTTTGCTACAACTTTTGTACGAAACTTTTTTTTCTAACACATTCTGAATCCCAAGCTCTCTACCAGAATAATGTAAATCCACGATTTCATCTGATTTTCACTTTTTCGAACTTTTTTCAATATTTATGCATCTGAGAGCGAAAGTGTAAAAGAGCAATATTGTTAAAAATAAAGTTTGCTACAACTTTTGTACTAAACTTTTTTTTCTAAAACATTCTGAATCTCGAGCTCTCCATCAGAATGATGTAAATCCACGATTTCATCTCATTTTCACCTTTTCGAACTTTTCTCAATATTTATGCATCTGAGAGCAAAAATGTAAAAGAGCAATATTGTTAAAAATAAAGTTTGCTACAACTTTTGTACAACACTTCTTTTTCTAAAACATTCTGAATCCCGAGCTCTCCATCAGAATGATATAAATCCACGGTTTTATCTGATTTTCACCTTTTAGAACTTTTCTCAATATTTATGTATCTGAGAGCAAAAATTGTAAAAGAACAATATTGTTAAAAATAAAGTTTGCTACAACTTTTGTGCTAAACTTTTTTTTCTAAAACAATCTGAATCCCGAGCTCTCCATCAGAATGATGTAAATCCACGATTTCATCTAATTTTTACCTGCTCGAATTTTTCTCGGTATTTATGCATCTGAGAGCGAAAGTGTAAAAGAGCAATATTGTTAAAAATAAAGTTTGCTACAACTTTTGTACTAAACTTTTTTTTCTAAAACGTTTTGAATTCCCAGCTCTCCATCAGAATGATGTAAATCCACGATTTTATCTCATTTTCACCTATTCGAAGTTTTCTCAACATTTATGCATCTGAGAGCAAAAGTGTAAAAGAGCAAATTTGTTAAAAATAAAGTTTGCTACAACTTTTGTACTAAACCTTTTTTTCTAAAATAATCTGAATCTCGAGCTCTTCATCAGAATGATGTAAATCCACGATTTTATCTCATTTTCACCTCTTCGAACTTTTCTCAATATTTATGCATCTAAGAGCAAAAGTGTAAAAGAGCAATATTGTTAAAAATAAAGTTTGCTACAACTTTTGCATTAAACTTTTTTTTCTAAAACAATCTGAACCCCGAGCTCTCTATCAGAATGATGTAAATCCACGATTTCAGCTGATTTTCACCTTTTCTAACTTTTCTCAATATTTATGCATCTGAGAACAAAAGTATAAAAGAGCAATATTGTTAGAAATAAAGTTTGCTATAACTTTTGTACTAAACTTTTTTTTCTAAAACAATTTGAATCCGAGCTCTTCATCAGAATGGTGTAAATCCACGATTTTATCTCATTTTCACCTATTCGAACTTTCCTCAATATTTATGCATCTGAGAGCAAAAGTGTAAAAGAGCAATATTGTTACAAATAATGTTTGCTACAACTTTTGTACTAAACTTTTTTTTCTAAAACGTTCTGAATCCAAAGCTCTCCATCAGAATGATATAAACCCACGATTTTATCTCATTTTCACCTATTCGAACTTTTCTCAATATTTATGCATCTGAGAGCAAAAGTGTGAAAGAGATATTGTTAAAAATAAAGTTTGCTATAACTTTTCTACTAAACTTTTTTTTCTAAAACATTCTGAATCCAAAGCTCTCCACCAAAATGATGTAAATACACGATTTCATCAGATTTTCACGTTTTCGAACTTTTCTCAATATTTATGCATCTGAGAGCAAAAGTGTAAAACAGCAATATTGTTAAAAATAAAGTTTGCTACAACTTTTGTACTAAACTTTTTTTTCTAAAACAATTTGAATCCCGAGCTCTCCATCAGAATGATATAAATCCACGATTTTATCTCATTGTCACCTATTCGAACTTTTCTCAATATTTATGCATCTGAGAGCAAAACTGTAAAAGAGCAAATTTGTTAAAAATAAAATTTGCTACAATTTTTGTACTAAACTTTCTTTTCTAAGACGTTCTGAATCCCGAGCTCTCCATCAGAATGATGTAAATCCAAAATTTTATCTGATTTTCACCTTTTCGAACTTTTCTCAATATTTATGCATCTGAGAGCAAAAGTGTAAAAGAGCAATATTGTTAAGAATAAAATTTTCTACAATTATTATACTAAAACTTTTTTTCTATAACGTTCCCAATTCCGTGCGCTACCAACCACAATATGTAAAACCACGATTTCTTCTAAATTTCACCTTTTCGAATTTTCCTCAATATTTATACATCTGAGAGCAAAAGTGCAAAAGAGCAATATTGTTAAAAATTAAGTTTGCTACAACTTTTGTACAAAACTTTTTTTTCTAAAACATTCTAAATCCGAGCTCTCCACCAGAATGATGTAAATCCATGATTTCATCTGATTTTCACCTCTTCGAACTTTTCTCAATATTTATGCATCTGAGAGCAAAAGTGTAAAAGAGCAATATTGTCGAAAATAAAGTTTGCTACAACTTTTGTACTACACTTTTTTTTCTAAAACACTCTGAATCCTAAGCTCTCCATCAGAATGATTTAAATCCACGATTTCATCTAATTTTTCCCTCCTCGAATTTTTCTCGGTATTTATGCATCTGAGAGCAAAAGTGTAAAAGAACAATATTGTTAAAAATCAAGTTTGCTACAACTTTTGTACCAAACTTTTTTCTCTAAAACAGTCTGAATACCGAGTTCTTCACCAAAATGATGTAAATCCACCATTTCATCTGATTTTCACCTTTTCCAACTTTTCTCAACATTTATGCATCTGAGAGCAAAAGTGCAAAAGAGCAAAATTGTTAAAAATAAAGTTTGCTACAACTTTGTACTAAACTTTTTCTTCTAAAACGTTCTTAATCCCAAGCTCTCCATCAGAATGATATAAATCCACTATTTCATCTGATTTTCACCTATTCGAACTTTTCTCAATATTTATGCATCTGAGAGCAAAAGTGTAAAAGAGCAATATTGTTAAAAATAAAGTTTGCTACAACTTTTATATTAAACTTTTTTTTCTAAAACGTTCCAAATCTGGTGCGTTTGGATGTCCATAGGTCTATAAACAACTTGCCGAATACGGTGTCATTCTTAGGGCTGTAAGAGGTTAATGGAAAAGAATTAAGATCGAGCGTTTTATAATTTCGATAGAAGAAACTACGACGAATCGAATAATGTATAGATCTTCATAATCGAGTACATCGTTTACGAGTTATGATCACCTAAAAAAGGTCATTTTTGTGTTATTTTCGTGAACTTTAGCAATATTTTGTCGCTTTAGGGAAATTTTGAAAGAAATTTTGAATCGAGTGGTTATTTTTGTATTGACTAAGTAATGAGATATTGTTCATCAAAATCGGTTGTTAAAATTTCTTGTTATAATATAAAAATTGGAGGCTAACTTTGTAGAGGTCTTTTAGATAGGGCGAAAACGTGTCCTTCACATAACCAGGATAATTTGAATTTTTCCACCATTCTCCGGTTAAAATAATACTAAATAACCTGCCTTTTAATTGGCCTACCGTGTTCTTATCGTTGAACACCAACGGAGGGAGTCCTCGAAGATATATTATAATGGGCATCCAGAGATAGACTCTCTCCGCGCGAAGGGAAGGAATTTAGAAACCAAAAGTGAAACCTAAAATTTATAATTACGAGAAGTTCTTTTTTTATTACCCGATTTCTAAAGACGCGATTGAGATACGAATGGTAAATTATGCCCATTGTTGAGCCACCAAAAGAATACCGCACGATTTGTCACAGATTAAAAGACATCTATTTAAATACTTGTACTATTTTAAAGTGATACAATTTCAATTGAGAGAGGAAATTTTGAAATTCAATCTCGTTAATTAACTTCTTTATAAGTCATTATTAACGAAAAATCCCCTTCCTTAAAATCACTCGAGATGTAGGTGTATAAATAACGAGTTTGCAACAAAATTATTATATTCAAATCGTACAACTCCAGAAAACAAGGAGAAAATGAATCTCTTCATCACCACCTTATTTTCAATTTTAGGTAAAAATTTTAATTTAAAAAATTGTTATTAACACTTATTTTTCAGCAATCATAAATGCTTCACCATTGGATGATCTCCAAGGAGCTGAAGGTCATCATTATTCATCATACAGCAGCAGCTACGGAGGAGGTGGTGGATACCACGGCAGTGGTGCTTCAGGAAGTGGGTTAAAACAAATCGCTTTGAGTGCTTCCCAACAAGCTAATGATGCCATTAAAAGCCAACATTCAGCTGCAAGTCAAGCTGCTTTTATCGCAAAAAGTCAGGCAGCACAAAAAGCATCACAGGTAAATCAACAAATTTATCTCAAAAATTTGAAATAAAAAGGAAATTTTAGGCTGCTGCTACCGCCCAAGCAGCTGTTGCAGGAAAAGAAGTCCTCGTTTCCCGGCTCCAACAAGAACTCCACAAAGCCCAACAACGACTCTCAGAAGAAAAACAACAACTCGAAGAAGCCCAAAAAGCAGCCGACGCCGCAAGAGAAGCTTTACACCAAGCCCAAAGTCAAACTAACGCTTTAAACGCAGCTATGAACGCTGCGCAAGGTACAATTGCTCACGCTCAACAAGCCGCTCAAGCAGCCGATAGTTTGTTGGGGTCTCAAGAGGCCATGGTAGGTGAAGCCAAACAAGATGTTTCGCAAATCGCCCAAGAGCTGCATCAAGCTCAATCTGGATTAGCTGCGACTCAACATGCCGCGCAACAGGCTTCAAACGCAGCTCATATTGCTCAAGCTAATGCTGCTAAAGCGGCTGCTGAAGCTGCGGCTTCCGGGTCGAAATCGGGAGGTGGAGGTGGTGGAGGAAGTAGTTATGGAGGTGGGGATTATGGTGATCATTATTAAATTGGAAATAAGGAAAAGGTTGGTTTGTAAGATGAAGAGTTGGAGATTTTTTTTCTATTATCTGTAGATCAAATTAATTTCTTTTGTGATTGTGTTAGTTTGTTTCTCTTAATAAATAAACTATGCTGTAAGAAAATATTTTTCTCTATTTATGGTTTGGTTGATCAATTTTATTTATGGTTTGGTGCATGGTGGCGGGTAGGACTTATTGCATTTGCAAGGATGTGATAGGGTTAAATAACCGGTGTGGACCAACCGTTGTCCACAATTGTGTTGTTCTTCTTGTGACCGGCAAGTTTCATAGAATTTCTGGAAGTGCTAATGAACTTTCTGGTGTGTTGGCTGATGATTAGTGACTAATGTGGGGTTATTCTAAAGGAGAAAACTTGTAACGTGACAAACATATCTTCTCCAATACGCTGCATTTATTGCAAAACGTATGATGACATATGTGACAGAGGGCTAAACCCGAATGATTCTAATTCTAGGTCTTGTGTTAGTTCTAGTGATAGTGCTAGTGTAAAACTAGAACTAACACTAGACCGAGAACTAGAAGCATTCAGATTTAGCCGTACATCTCTCAAGATGGCTAAACCTGAATGATTCTAGTTATTGGTCTTGTGTTAGTTCTAGTGATAGTGCTACTATAAAACTAGAACTAACACTAGACCTAGAACTAACTCTAAAGACACTTAGTTCTAGTTAGTATGTAACATAGTTAGTTCTAGTTTTAGATCAATAAAAATATGCAACATAGTGATATTTTATGCTAATTAGTAGGACGGTTAAAGTATCTTCCTTTTAATGCAACAAACCGCTTTGAAAAATCACTTTAAGTTCTTGAGAAATAAGTGTATGAAAATTTTGCAATTTTCGCAGATTAAGTTTTAAAAATTCGTATAAAATCCAGTTTTTGGAATATGAGTATGAAATTTTCCCAAAGTGTTAATAAAAGTGTTCTCTTTCCAAGGAACCAACCCGTTTTGAAAAATAACTTTTAGTTTTTGAGAAAACAATATTTGAAGTTTTGATAAAATTTTCGATGTTGCAATTTTCATCGATAATATTCAAAATTCGCTATAAAATTAATTTCTTGACAGATCCTTGTGGAAATATCACCAATGATTAATTAAAGTATCCTCTTTTTAATGCAAAAAGCCGTTTTAAAAAATCATTTTTAATTTTTGAGAAAAAAATTTTTGAAATGGTCGACAATTTTTTCAACTTTTGCAATTTTCACCGATTAAGTTTTAAAAATTCGTATAAAATCCAGTTCTTGGAATATGAGTATGAAAATTTCCCAAAGTGTTAATAAAAGTGTCCTCTTTCCAATGAACCAACCCGTTTTGAAAAATAACTTTTAGTTTTTGAGAAAACAATATTTGAAGTTTTGATAAAATTTTCGATGTTGCAATTTTCATCGATAATTTTCAAAATTCGCTATAAAATTAATTTCTTGAAGGATCCTTGTGGAAATATCACCAATTATTAATTAAAGTATCCTCTTTTTAATGCAAAAAGCCGTTTTGAAAAATCACTTTTAGTTCTTGAGAAATAAATTTTTGAAATGATCGACAATTTTTTCGAATTTTGCAATTTTCGCCGATTAAGTTTTAAAAATTCGTATAAAATCCATTTCTTGGAATATGAGTATGAAAATTTCCCAAAGTGTTAATAAAAGTGTCCTCTTTCCAATGAACCAACCCGTTTTGAAAAATAACTTTTAGTTTTTGAGAAAACAATATTTGAAGTTTTGATAAAATTTTCGATGTTGCAATTTTCATCGATAATTTTCAAAATTCGCTATAAAATTAATTTCTTGAAGGATCCTTGTGGAAATATCACCAATTATTAATTAAAGTATCCTCTTTTTAATGCAAAAAGCCGTTTTGAAAAATCACTTTTAGTTCTTGAGAAATAAATTTTTGAAATGATCGACAATTTTTTCGAATTTTGCAATTTTCGCCGATTAAGTTTTAAAAATTCGTATAAAATCCATTTCTTGGAATATGAGTATGAAAATTTCCCAAAGTGTTAATAAAAGTGTCCTCTTTCCAATGAACCAACCCGTTTTGAAAAATAACTTTTAGTTTTTGAGAAAACAATATTTGAAGTTTTGATAAAATTTTCGATGTTGCAATTTTCATCGATAATTTTCAAAATTCGCTATAAAATTCATTTCTTGAAGCATCGTTGTGGAAATATCGCCAATTATTAATTAAAATATCCTCTTTTTAGAGTTGCTTCTTATTATTTTCATTTTTATTCAAATATCGCAATAATGTGGCAATATAGGATATCACTTCAGAAATGCACCAGAAATTATAACCATAATGGCCATAATGGATATGCCGGTATCCGGCTTTTCGGAAAATCACTATCCGTTCCATCACTAGAATAAAGTAAAGACCCAATGGTAGCAAACAATTTCAGCCCTAATAGTCTGATATGTTGCTTATCGAGAGTATTGATGTTAGTTCTAAGGAATAAACAGTTCTTGGTAAACTACTAACTTGGTTTTAGACGATGATACTCCATCTCATAACTTGACACTTCTGCAAAAAGTTGCAAAGCGCCTCTCTCAAACTGAAACGTTTAGCTGTGGTGTTTTTTGACAGTTTTCTGGATTTTTAATTCTTGCAATGCTGTCACACATCAAACTCGATCTATTCGTATCTTTTTTCGATCATCTTTCAGCGCTTCCAATGATCGTATCATCTTAATCCGTTGTAACTGGAAATTCCGTGTAGGCTGATTTCTAAATAGTTTCGAAGATATCCAGAAATTTCTGAATATTTCCAAAGATTTTTAACAATTCCACTAAGTTCTTTATAGAGTTCATAAGATGTCTAAAAAGTACCTAAGATATACAAGGATTTGTAGGGATTCTCGAGATTATACTACGATTTGGTTTTCCCATAGGATATTTGGATTTGAAGGAATAAAAAACCTTACTCTCACGGAACCCAACCAAACGCTAAGCATACCATTCTAATCGAGCGATGTTGTCCTTGGATATGGTGTTGAAATAATTCATCTTACCAGGATTTCTCAACTCATGTTCCCATACAACTTCTTTAAAACTTAAACATTGAAATTCTGACATGCAACATAAAGAATATAACATACGCCAGTGACAGAATACTGCAGACTACGTTCAAACCTCGAGATACCTCAAAAATTCAGATAATCGTGAAACGAGAGATGTTGCAATTTTCATCGATAACTTTCAAAATTCGCTATAAAATTAATTTCTTGAAGGATCCTTGTGGAAATATCGCCAATTATTAATTAAAGTATCCTCTTTTTAGAGTTGCTGCTTATTATTTTCATTTTTATTCAAATATCGCAATAATGTGGCAATATAGGGTTCACTTCAGAAATGCACCAGAAATTATAACCATAATGGCCGGATAGATATGCCGGATAACGGGATATCCGGCAGAAGGGGATGCAGAATATCCGGTATCCGGCTTTTCGGAAAATCACTATCCGTTCCATCACTAGAATAGAGTAAAGACCCAATGGTGGCCAACGATTTCAGTCCTAATAGACTGATATGTTGCTTATCGAGAGTATTGATGTTGGTTCTGAGGAATAAACAGTTCTTGGTAAACTACCAACTTGGTTTTAGACGATGATACTTTATCTCATAATTTGACACTTCTGCAAAAAGTTGCAAGCGCCTCTCTCAAACTGAAACATTTAGCTGTGGTGTTTTTTGACAGTTGTCTGGATTTTTAATTCTTGCAATGCTGTTTTACACATCAAACTCGATCTATTCGTATCTTTTTTCGATAATCTTTCAGCGCTTCCGTCTTTATCCGTTTTAACTAGAGGTTCCGTGTAGGCTGATTTCTAAATAGTTTCAAAGATATCCAGAAATTTCTGAATATTTCCAAAGATTTTTAACAATTCCACTAAGTTCTTTATAGAGTTCATAAGATGTCTAAAAAGTACCTAAGATATACAAGGATTTGTAGGGATTCTCGAGATTATACTACGATTTGGTTTTCCCATAGGATATTTGGATTTGAAGGAATAAAAAACCTTACTCTCACGGAACCCAACCAAACGCTAAGCATACCATTCTAATCGAGCGATGTTGTCCTTGGATATGGTGTTGAAATAATTCATCTTACCAGGATTTCTCAACTCATGTTCCCATACAACTTCTTTAAAACTTAAACATTGAAATTCTGACATGCAACATAAAGAATATAACATAGGCTAGTGACAGAATACTGCAGACTACGTTCAAACCTCGAGGTACCTAAAAAAATCCGGAAAATTGTGAAACGAGACTTAGAGCCGGTTGTACAATTTACCGATAAATCTACCTGATAACAATTTGGCCAATAAACTTATCGGGAGGATAAAGATATTCGGTTAATGTTATAGGTTAATCCAATATAATTTGACGTTGTAGTAAAACCTCGATATACTACATTTTAATAAAAATATACATCAATCTAGCGCTGAATAACAACTAAAACTAACACTAGTACTAGACCTAGAACTAGAAACATTCCATTTAGCCGTGCGCCTCTTAAAACGGCTAAACCAGAGTACTAGTTCTAGGTAACCATATATATCTGGTGGATAACTGTCTTATCGGCAGCGTTGAGTACCCGATAAGTTATCCTGCCGATAATCTCACCGACAAAAATATACTTATCGGCCAGATAACACTGTTGGGAAGTTTATCGAGTTAGTTTTTTAAATCAACTTCGTTACAGAAACTAGATGTTTTTATTAATATTGAAACAAAATAAAATAAACCCGAGTAATTCACCTTTTAATCTTATCGATTTAACAGTTCCAACACATATTTATCACACAACAAAGGTGCAGTTAATTTCTTATATTGACACGTTATCTGATAGTAAGTAGGTTTGGCGCCTAAGACACCTAAATCACGTTAGAATTTTAACGCTTGCCATTATCGATCTAATAACACGCACTGTGCGCATTGCGCAACGCTTGAAATATTATCATAACACAACGACATTCATCTCCATGACACTATCTATATATAGATAATTCTATATAAACGCGTTCTAATACCGATCTGTTAGTGGCAGATTTGTTTAATACCAGTCCGTACGTTACATA